GCCAAGAAATTTGACGTTTCATTGATATTTGTTTCACTGATATTAAATTGAAGTTATGTTCAGCAGTACAAAGTCGTTAGAGAAATTCACGAATAATGACCGTAATACAAAGCAAATTACTTGTGATCCCAGTAACATCAAATGCTCATAATCGTTATGATTAAAATACGTAGACCAGAACTGAAAAGATCTTTGAAACGAAACCTTAATACAGGCTTTAATGCACCCTGTGGGAGTTTCTGCTTCTGCCAGGTTTAAGTCAAAGAAAGATTAGTGTTCTAACGGAAGTTACTCCCTTTCGAGAGACGCGGCGTTACCTTTGTGTTCTAACACCACTTAAAGTGATTTTGAATATCCTCGTAATAGCAACTTCGCGGATAAATCTGCACAGGGGATGTGACAAAAGCACAAAAACGTGTTAACACTACGAGATGATGACTTCCAAAGTCACCCGTAAAGTTCTAATTAACCAGCAACTAGGAGTTGGAACGTATCGTAGGCGCGATCAGGTCGACAAAATGAAACTCCAGGTGGCGTTATCACAATGTTATCAGCACTATTAGCACCAACTTTTTAACGTCCGGGGAAGAAGGAGAGTAAAGGAGAACGGAAGAGGGAAAATCGCCATCATCTCGTGCATGATAAAACCTCACGACAAACTTTGGAAATCATCGTCTCACGACGTAACCTTAAACTTCCTTTTCTATGAAAGCGTCAGTGCCACATCTGCTGCGATGTGCTGACATCGTAATGAAACGCTAAACCAAATTACTCTTATGCAAATGCGATGGATACTTACGCTGCTAATTTTTTTAAAGCTGAAACTGCCCGTTAATCAGATTACCGCGTAAGACATTCAATGCTATCATTAAGTGATGTTCCTATCTCATTAACTCCGGTAACTTTCGGGAACAGGCAGCACAAACCGTGCACTTCAAAAAACAAATTCTTTCATAAATAAACTCAAAGAAAAACTAAAAATGCGTTTTTCACTACTCACTGAATGCGGTAAAATGAGGAACTAAACATTTTGCTACCACAGGAGATTTACGAGGGACCGTATTCCACCATCACTTTGCAGAGAAGAACAGACAGACCCTTCAGCAACCGCTCTTTAACGTTGAACTCTCAGAATCACTGCTCATATGTGTAAATACGAAACAGTTACACACTACCGTAGACGTGATCCAGCGATATTTCTAATCGACCTGATTTACGCCGAAAACAAAACTGTCGGTAATATATTCAGCAACGAAAAGGGTCTACAAAACAAGAACTGTTGTGCGGAATAATATTGGAATTCTTAGGTGAGAAGCAATATCTCAGTCTGTTAAAAACGAAGCGCCAAGATAAATACTTAAGTCACCAAATGCCTATATTTATGTTGACCAAATGGTAAAAGTTGAATCTACAGCAGCTTAACGGATAGCAAATAAGTTAGAGCAGTATGGATGTCCCAGCAAAATTGGTCCGGATAAACGTGAAGAAAATGTCGCATAAAATGTTGGTCGTGAAAGAGAAAAAAGACTCTAAGGGGACCTCTAAGAATCCAAAAGAAGTGGACTGCACAGAAACTTTGCAATTTAATTCAGTTTCCGTCAAACTTACACAATGAGCACCATAAGTGGCACTCTTCTTCCATTTTATTTCGGTGTAACGAATATTTCTATTTCAATACGTTCAGCCAGTAATATGTTACCAGAGTGAAATGCAAAGCCTACAGCAGGTAAAGTGCAATAAAACCACTGCAGCATGTACCACACTATTCCTTCCAATGATGCACTACTCATTTAGATGAAAACCGAGTCAATCGGCAGAGTTCCAAATTCGTGAGCTTTCGACCACGATTCGGTCGCTCTATCGAATAAGCTACCTCAGAAATCAGAAGTTAAGGGATACACCGATTAAAGAGCAGATGAAATGCAATTAGAGGGCATGATCGATTCATTCATTCATTCATTGTTACATAAGTGTTCCCTAAGGAACATGACAAGTAGCCATCCCAGACAAGAACACAAAAGAATAAAATATGTTAGTCAACGTCAAATACACCATAACGGAGAAAAATTGATAGTAATTGTGCCAGACGCAGTCAGGATTGAGGCATCTTCTTCCTCAGATCCTGTTTCTCTTAACCGGGATCGATTATGCAACTAACTGTAAAGGGATAACCGATTTCCCGTAAGCCTCAGTCCGACATTTGCACGGCTCGTAACTTGACTGAGTGCTTGGACTGTTCAGTTGGCACACCATTAGGCACTGATGTAAAGGATGCGTTGAGTCAGCGAGGATTGATATCGAGTTAAACAGTTTCTCTAAGGATAGTAACAAGCTCCTCCCACATGTACCTGCACATGCGGCCCAACAATTTAACTAGGCTTCTGACTGAATGGAGCTGTTTCACGGTGAGGCCGTTGAAGTAGACGGGCGCAACACACGGAACCAAACGCAATATGCAAGTTCGAATGAACTCTTTCAATACCTCTGGCCTGACGCAGTCTTTTCAAACGGTACAAGATATGAGACAAAACGGCGTACGCTGCCAATCACGACGTCGAAATGAGGTTCCCAAATAAGAATCTCATTCACAGCCAAGCCGAGATAGTTAAAACTGCCATCTTACTGAAAGAGATGCTGAGGAACCGCAACAGTTCAATGGCAAACTCTATTACAGCTCCGTTTATACGTCTGGTGCGATGGAAAATGCAGTCGACGGGTTTAAGTGGATTAAGCGTGAGGCAGTTCACACTCATCCAATTTCCTACTTCTTTTACTGAAGCTAAGAAAGCTAAAAGTTAGCATCGAGATTCTACAGGAGTTAAAAGAGCGGCGTCATCGGCGTATATCGCACACGTCAAAACGTCACCCACTGCGTCACAACTGCAGGTTATAAAATGAACAGCACCGGTGACAGACAAAATCCTTGTGCCACTCCACGTGTCGTCAGACAAACCGATGACATCTTGGTGCCAACGCGCACACGCTGGCGGAGTCTGGAATAGTAAATGGAGAGTAGGCATACCAGTTGCAGCTCCACCACTACATGTACCAGCTGTTTAATAAACATAACTCAAGGCAATGTGTTGTATACCAAACTACAATCCAAGAAGGAACCTCATACCAGTGGCTTTCGTTTGTAGATGTTATTTGCAGTAGTGCTGACTACCACGGCCAACGTATCGACGGTGTTTCGTCCTATCTGTAGCCAAAATGAGAAGAAACGAACTTATCGAGTATCTTGGAATGCACAGATGGTAGAAGGATTCTTTCAAAACACTTGAA